TACATATGCATTTTTACATCTTGAATAAAAGCTATATATATGATTATTCTAAGTTATATAAATATGTAATAGAATACATTACATGATGACACAATTTCTGTGTAAAGCATTTGTGAAGGTTTGACACGCGTTATGAATGGTGGTACAATACTTACCTGAATTGTGTGAAACAAATGCACAAGGACCCAACGACTGGGCAGCTCATTTTCCAAAAACACCCAAACTAGATTCCAACTCCTTGGTAATCTTTAATATGTTGTACTATAATTTGGTTGCTTATCACTTCAAATATTTTGTTTCTTTATTTTTTTATCACTTATAATAACATATTTAATTACCGATTTAACATAAATATCATATCACATTTAACATACTGATACAAAAATGTTAAAATCATACCATATTATATATAAAATATTTTTTTTGTTATAGATTAAAAATGTATGCAATTGAAATAGAAGGTTAATTAATTTCTCCCTTTTCCTATATTGTGATTGATTTCAACATTTGATTCCTGCCTGGATTTCAATTTACAATCAGTTAATTTTTCTTATCTCCTTAATATCTCATAATTGTTTTCATTTTGGCTACTTCATTGTGAATTTTAATTTTTGATCATTACTTATTGCCTTTTGGGTTGTCTGTGAGATTTCACTTTTTATACCTAATCTATGTATTTAATTAACCATTTAGCAAGAAGGGGGCAAGAGGTATGGTCTATCTTAATATCATGTTTTCAATCCTAAATAAACACCGAATCATATAATTAGAATAAATAAATACAAGGAATGGTACTGAGGTTGAATAAATAATTTGCAATTTGGATTTACTGACTTATAAAATCACAATTTCAAAATTTTCAAATTGCAGATTAGTTATGCATTTTTGTGATACCTATACAGAGTGATTGATAAATATAATGATGTTTAAAAGTTTTTGTGAAGTCCAGATTTATTACTTGGCTTCCCTTGCCAAAAATTACAAATGTTATCACACATGCTCATTATTTAGAGTTAGGATACAATGCTGATCTGGGATTTCTACTGAGTTGGACTTGTCAAATTACCAGCCTTATACACTACAAAAGGTTTGAATCATACATTTGTATTTGCACATCAAGCTTATTTTTTTAGATTCCTTTTGTTTAGTGTAGTTGTCTAGTTTTGTCTATTATCCAGCTGTCTAAGCACACAAATTAAGACAACCCACATGGGCCATCTGCCACTTTTTCTCGAAAAATGGATTTTCAGCCCTAGATCTTTCCAGGTTGATTTTACACATGACACGTGGCTTTTCATCCCCTCTCTGTGTCTGAAACTCAGTCATCTTTATAAAGCCATTCTAGGCTTCATTTGTTGTTGGGGTTTTGAGATTGGAAAAGTTTTTGAGAGTTTTATTTTTATCTCCATCTCAGATCTCCTAGGAGCATCAAACATATTTTATGGGTAATGTTCTTCATTAAATATTTCTAAACCTGTCTTTGAATTGCTTGCTTAAATTCATTTTACATGCTCATTTGTTTTGGCTAGGAGTTTTACATTTTTAGAAAAGAGTTGATTTCAGCTTTGAGCTACCTCTTGTGTTTTGTGACCAAATAACCATTGCTAGAGATAAATGTTGTAGGGTTTGCTAATATTGACACGTTGTTAACCAAGTAAACATAACTTAAGAATCAAGACTAAAACATAACTGAAGATCACACTGTCTTGTTTCAGTTTTATAAGTTTGCTTGGTTTATTTGCTTGTGGGCACCTAACAATCTGTACTTAGTTGACTAGTACGTTTAACTATTCAGTACAATTGATTTCAAAGTTTTCACTATATTTTATGAGTATTGAACTGAATTGTTGTTGACTAGGATAACTTGTAGTGAACTAAGTTTGATTCGTAGATTTACGTTTGTTTAACTGATACGAATTTGTACTTAGTTGACTTCTATCCAGCACGCTTTAATTCATAATTGCTTCGTCATTGATGTTTGCATAATGAACTGATACATAAATGAGTTCAAGCTTAAGGATTATTGTCATGAAACTAATCTGGGCAGACTTTGATTATTTGAACATATTGGTCAGTTAGGTTTTGCTCCTACAACTGCACTTTTTATCAATGACTAACTTGTAACTAGTCGACTAGCTCATTTGACTAGTCTACTGTGCAAAGTTAAATTTTTATTTGCAAGAGATTCCGCCTAGTACCCCGATTTTAGTTTTTATTATTATGATTGTGTTATGTTTGCTCTATATTTGCTTAACTTAATTGTTATAAACTTATATTTTACTGTTTTCTTTCTATAATAACACAAAATCTGTTTTTTTTCACTTGCTTACATCTTTTCTTATATTTGCCTCCGTATAATACTGATGTAATTATATAAACTTAGTTCAAATCTCTAAATCCCATTCCACTTTAACTTTTTCCCTCTCTATATTTATAATGAGTTACAGCTCACAAAAGTCTCATAAAGTTCAATTTTTAAATGTAGGTAGAAAGTAAATTTGGTTCTTGAAGAAACCAAACAAAATGAATGCTTTGATAATTGGTAAATCTGGTGAAAATTTTTTTTGGCATGGTCTGCAAATATCTTGTATTAAATCAAAGATTGGTGGACCAGTAATAGTTGCCAAATGAATTTTTGAGGTTGATTGGGCAAAAGAATATTTCCCACATGCAGTTCTGGAACAAGAAAAATAATTTCAATTCAAATGATATACATCCTCATTCACAATGTGACTGGAGATACAACTATGGAATTAACAACTCCATAAGCATTGTCAAGAGAAATTACAGTATCTTCCACCACTGTGTCATCTTCGACTTCAACACCTCAAACTAGTGAACAATTGTATAAACGAAAGAGGAAATCAATCAGGCAGCTTTTTTTTACTAGCGATAAACAAAGGTTAGTTTCGTATATTTTTTTTCCAAATATAAATTTCAAATTATCATGGATTCATGTCACCTAGCATTCACCACCCATTAAAAATCATGGAGTAGAAGAAATTTCAGAAGTAGATCCGAAAGAGTTAGATGAAGTTCCAATCAAATTGTTATAAAAGAAATCATCCTCAACTGGTGCAAAATCAGATTACACTCCTCCAAAAAGAAACTAGGTAAGTATATTTTAACCTTACCTTTTCTTCTACTGAAAAATTATTGAAACACATATTTAACAACTATCTAACTGTCTTAACTTCTTTCATTTCCCTAAGTTGCTTTGTTAAGGATGAACATCATTTTACCAAAACTCCACCAGCTACGCTGGAAAACATTTATCGTCCGTTGTTAATATACATCAAACAATATTTACAATATTTATCTACCATGTAAATATCTCTTTCTAACCTAGACTTCACAATACTTTTTGCATAAACATAAACCAGTTGTTGGGAAAATTACAAGAAAAATTGTAATATTCTTCTAAGAAGCACGTAGACAATTAGGCTAAGGCGCGGGTATCTCGCTCTCTTTAAGGAGATTCAAGCTCACTATGGTTTTACAAAAGTTCACGAACCGGTGCAGCAATGTATATCTTGACTTGTCTCCTTCATGATACAACAACCCAACTAAATTGTGTTTGACTCAAACCTCTCTGCACAAAAATAGAAGAGTCAAAAGCTCTTTGGCCAATATATGTAAAAGATAGAAAGTATGGAGGAATAAATATTGTAGTTATTAAGAAATTGTTAGTGGGATCATAAATAAAAAGATAATGGGAAAAATGCTAATAATTATATGTTTATTACCACCCTTAGTGAATAGGGTAGTAAACACAAATTAACAAAGAAAAATGCTACAAGAGTTACAAAAGATGAAAGGCTAAAAACTCCATATTAATTTCCCACCAACCACAAATATTGACAAATAAACTTTCCCACTAACAACCAAATAATGACAATTATAATTTATTTAATTTATTTAATATTAAAAATGAATGAAATATGTCCAAATAATTTCTTCATGAAATTTGTCAACTGTTGACCTTTAGCTTTAAGCCTCAACCTTTCGGGATAGGGCATTGGAGGCACATAAACTCGTTCTCCAGCTTTTGCGGCAATTTCTGCACTGTTTTCGGATATGTCCAAAAGCTGCGTAGAATCTGCAAAAATATCAGATTTTGCAAAAATTCTAGAATCTATTTGTGGCTTGTGGCGCTGCCCGTGAATTTCCAGGACAATTTTCATCTTTGTTGTCATAACTTTTCCCAAAATGTAAAACTTTAACTGCCTTACAATTGGCACCTCCCCTCAAATTTGGTTCAGTTTGGCTGCGAAATGTACTCGGTGCTCTTTCTGAAACTTGCAAAGCAATCTGCCCAATTTGTTGTTCCATATTTTTCATTGTTGCATGCATATTTTGGATTTCTTGACTAGTCTGTTCAAATCTTGTGTTTGTAGTATTTGCTAATTTTTCAATTGCAATCTCCCAAGCAACCTTAGGTGTAGTAGGTTGTTGTACCTGCTATTGAAATTGTGGTTTAGAATGCTAATCTCTATCCCACTTTAGATTAGGATGATCTTTTCCAACCCGGGTTGTAGAAATTTGAATATGGGTCATTTCTTGGATGCTGAAAATTATTAAATGCATTAACTTGTTATGCTGTAAACTCCAAATAAGCATCCTTCTATGGGCAGCTCATAAAATCATGTCATGTTGCAAATACGGCAGGCAGCTGTTAAGGGCTACTGTACAACAACCTATGAATATGGAATTCTTTGTAATAGCATGTCAAATTTTGCATCAAAATTTTCAAGGTTTTTCTCCATTTTTTCAATTTGTGCTGATACATATGGAGAACCATTAGACATCTAAAAAACAGACCTAGTTTACGGCTGCTCAACTACCCACTATTGTGCATCTGCTGCCATTTTTTCAAACAATAAACACGCCTCTTTTGCATTTTTATCTTTATATGAACCTCTGCATGAAGCATTGACAAGAGTTTTTGTAGTCATATTTAACCCTATGAAAAATATATGCATTTGAGTAATACCGTCAATACCGGAATGTGAACATTTTGTGATCAACTCCTTGAACCTTTCCCATGCCTCATGAAACTCTTCGTTTGGTTTTTGGGCAAAAGATGAAATTTGAGTTCTCATGTCAAGAGTCTTTGAAGCTGATTAATATTTTCTTAAGCATTTTTCACTGAGTTGGTCCCAAGTGCTAATGCTTCTAGATGGAAGTGTGAGGAGCCATCTCCTTGCTTGATCTTTCAAAATGCAAGGAAATAAACGAAGCTTAATAGATTCGGCTGAAAATCCTCTCACTAAAATATTATTGCATCCTATTAAAAATTTTGTAATGTGCATGTTAGGATTGTCGGTTGATAACCTATGAAATGTAGGTAGAATATTCAACATGTGATGCTTTATTTCGAATGTAGAACCTTCCTCAACTTCCGAATAACTAATGCACTTGGTATACGCTGTCAATGAATCACCTAAAGGCTGCCCAGCCTCTGGAATAACAAAAGCCATTGTTTCTTTGTTGTGCAGATTCCCAGAAAATAAAGACTGCAGAAAAGTCCCCTGCAGGGAAGGAACCCACTGTAAATTTTGCTCTCTGCGTCTCCTTCTTAAAGACTGCTCAGGTTCTGGATCAAACGGAAACAATTTCTGCCCTGCTGAACAAGTGCTAACAATGCACATATTGTTGTAATATGCACTGCATTGCTGCAATACGTAGAAAACAATAAAAACGAAATTTTTTTTTATAAATATTTTTTATATACAGCAATAACTAAGTCAAAATCTGATTAGAACATATTATTTTAAATAATCCCTAACAACTATACCAATTTCTTGATCGGTATTTTACCACACATGTCACATCCCGGCCCGGGGCGGATCACTTCCCAATGGGTCACCCATCCTGGGAGTGCTCTCGCACGCTACTCGCTTAACTTCGAAGTTCCAATGGAACCCGAAGCCAGTGAGCTCCCAAAAGGCCTCGTGCTAGGTAGGGATGGGAATATACATATAAGGATCACTCCCCTGGGCGATGTGGGATGTCACAATCCACCCCCCTTAGGGGCCCGATGTCCTCATCGGCACACCACGGCCAGGGTTAGGCTCTGATACCAATTTGTCACATCCCGGCCCGGGGCGGATCACTTCCCGATGGGTCACCCATCCTGGGAGTGCTCTCGCGCGCTACTCGCTTAACTTCGGAGTTCCAATGGAACCCGAAGCCAGTGAGCTCCCAAAAGGCCTCGTGCTAGGTAGGGATGGGAATATACATATAAGGATCACTCCCCTGGGCGATGTGGGATGTCACAACACACGCAAAAAGGTTAAAAACTCCTATAATACTTATAAGAATGACAAGGATATTGTAGTATAAATGATTCTTGCAAGGTTGTTCTCCATAGGAATTATTAAATAATTTGAAGCAAACCAAATTCTAATTAATTATTGTAATATAGAAATTTGAGATGATTCATTTTTATGATCTAATTTAATAAAATGAATTTAATTAATGGAAGTAGAAAAATCTGCAATATTAAAGATGAGGAAAAAAAAAATCAAGTTAAGAAAGCACTAGGGATCCACCGTCGCCTTAACAATCTATATAGTTCTCCCAATTACTTATGATTTATACATGCATATTTCAAAGGTTAGGTTTTCCTAATATATGCCTACTTGGACCCTCAATATAGAACGTACATCAAACATGCAATCCGTTTGTGGTATTCAGATCAAATCTCAACATGCATGACTCATTAAGTTTTGTGAAACCTTTTGAAAAACCATGCAACCCTTAAGACATGGTATTCATCCTAAGTGAACTTGGACATATTAATCACAAGAAACCTTCATCAATTTCAAGGATCGATCTCCGACCAAAATTGCATCAAATTCCTTTTCTAAACATTCTAATGATCGCAAATTATCAAAACACTTAGACAGTATAAATCGGTGATTAATAACTCGAAAATCTGCATGCATATAATGATAAACAAATTGAAAAGAAACTATATATTCTTATTAAGGCTCGTGACCTCACCCTAGCAAAAAGAGAATTAGTTATGCATATTCATAATAAAAATCACAAAGTTCTTTATTGAAATAATAAAAGATCGGAAACTCCTTGAATGAAAAAGTCTGAAAATCTCTACACTTGGCCAATTTCCTCTCCCAAACAACGCATGGAGAAGAAGTAGTTCATAATTAGGGCCGGCCAAGCTTATTTAACCTAGTAAAAATTAAATCCTCATAAGAAAAGGTCTTCCAATTGAACTAGGAAACTAAATAACTAAAGTAAAATAGGAAACATATCCCTAAATTAAATGGTAAAACTTGCCTAAAATCTGCACAGTCACGTTTTGGGCCCTTAAACTGCTCCAAAACTGGCCCAATTTCGCTGGATTTAAAGTTTGGAATATTTTGAACACTTCTCCAGAATGCCATGAACCCATCAGAGGTCATCTTGGGCTCCAAAAACGCAATTTCAGCCTAGAAACGTCACTTTCTAGCACTGCACACTACTCATTTATTCCATCGCTAGAAAGTAACTGCTTGGTAGAAAAATCCCAAATTTTGATACGAACGTCCTTTAATTTGAATCACTTCAAAATTCGTCTGTTTGATCATGTTTTGCTCCAAAGGAAGCCGAATGTTCTATATTGGAAATATAAAACAGAGTATCAAAATTCTACCAAAATAATTACCAAAACATACTAAGAATAGGGTAAAATATATAATATAATATTGGCTCATCAATGAACCAACACCAGCATTTGCTAATTTTTTGTATCTAAATGTTGGTTCCACTTGAAAAGTGGATGCAACTGCTAAGTGCAATGGATGGTTGTAATATTTTTTGTATGTCTGTAAACAAAAAGCTTTCAACCTTTTATGTTTAAATTGTACAAATTAAACATTTCATCCATAAACCTTTTCCAACCTTTATGTTCTCAATAATGTTAATGTTTTGTGATACAATTTTTACAACTTTCAAACACAGTGTTAAATACAATTTTCAAACCTCTGGCAACGCGCGGGTGACCCATTCTGGTATATATTAAATGACATGAGGTTTACTTGCACACTATCAACGAAAAATTGACGAAATTAAAACTTGAGCTTAACTCCTCAAAGATGAGAAGGTTCTAAAGCATTAGATCATATCAAAAGCACTCCTAAGGAATAACATAATAGTGATAGATAATTGTTTAATTATAACTGAGTGCAAAGAAGGTTAATTGAGCTACTGGCCAACAGTGAGTAATTAACCTTCCGTTCCATGAGCTATTTTATTAATCCAGCGCAACAAAGTGCCCACAAGGAAGAAAGAAGCAAATGACACAAAAGACACTTGTATTCCTTCATTTGCTGAGATGTTGAATAAGTTATTAGTGCCATGTTCATCCCAGCAATGAATTTTCCATAATGTCGGCTCTTGACACCCTTGAGTTTTATTTCCAACTCGCATCTACGTCGATTTTCACTCATGGAGATAATAGGGAGAACCAAGTAAGCAGGAGATACTTGTCTGCTCTCCATTTTTCTTCTTATTCGTGTTCTTCATTGTGGTCGTTCTAAATTCACATCAAGCCATTATAAAGATTGGGCAACCTGCACAGGTGAGGGGGCCTTGTATTCAATTAAACGTTAATGATCTAAGTTAGTTAGAGAGCTTTAATATATATGCTCATGTAAGAACTTGAAAAAAGTAACAAAAAGAAACTAATTCTCAAACTCTCTTCGTCCTTTCTTACTTGAAGCGCCTCTCTGACCTCTAATGCCGGTGCAAGAATTCAATCGCCCAGGTGCCAATGAACTTCTCAGAAAGAGTTACAGAAGGACTAAACAAGCTCTATAGTTGCATGTTGGAACCAAAATATTGTCACTACAACAAATCTTCACAACAAAATAAAATATGACAATCATCATGGTTACCTAGACCCATTCTTTCAACATGATCATTAAATGTCTTTGGCCCTAGTCATTTTGTCAATGGATATGTAGTCATGCATTGTGCTTATGTGCTTATGTCATCTTCCAAGAAATCACTCCTCCAACTAAGAGGAACAAGTAACCAAGAGCTGATCTATCAACATATGTAGCAAAAACTGAATATGAATAACCGATAACTTATAAGTTATTAGATTTCCGATATGTGATCATATAGTATTTTGTTCCGTGCAAATATGGCATCACTTTATTTGCAGCTTTCAGTTATCCATCTTGGATTCAACTGCAAAACTGATGTCTGTTCTGCTACAAGTACGTGCATACATCACACTTCCCACAACGATAGAGAGAGAATACTCCTCTACCTTTCTCTCTAATTTCGCAAGTCCAAAAGAACTTTCTAGAAGAACAACAAGTATCTCTCTAAACGCCTCCAGCACCTTCCAAACATTAAAAAATAAATTAAATTAAATTAAATTAAAAAAAAAATATATATATATATATAACATGCGAAAATTATACAAACAAAAAAAACCTCGTTAGGTCTCTCTTGCAACCTTCTCTGTTTCTCCACAAAAGCGTTCCCGCAGAGGCTTCGAGAAACCCTACCGAAGCTCTCTCTCTCTGTCTCTCTCTCTCTCCTCCTTCTCGCTCCTCCCGTCCTTAGACTCTCTGTGGATCTCCCTCGAGGTACGCTCCCTAAAACCCTAGACTTTGCATCGGATCAGATCTCTACGTGAAAATGCTGTTAGATCTGATGTAGATTTTACCGTTTCCCGATTTGGATATTTTACGCTGGGTTTAGCCTCGGTGGGGTTTTGATTAATTTAAGTGTTGAACTGCCTCACTTTCTGCTGCGATTCAATTTTTTGCTTATATCTTTTAGGGTGTCTATTTTTGGGTTTGAGCTAGATTCGGTGAATATACGATTACACTAGTTTGAGCAGATTCTGGTGATTAGATAATCATGAGGTTTATTGACTGCTTGGGTGATTAGCGTTGGTTGGAATTTGCAATTAGGATCGGTTAATTTTAATTTTTTTAAAGATTATTGTTTTGTATGTTATGCAATTTGAATGGGGACGGAGGGTTTTTTTATCCAAGATTTGCGGAGGTGTAATTTGCGGACTTATTTTTCTGTTTCCTTTAGCTACTGTATTATTTATTTCTGATACTGTAATCACCGT